AGTTGATATTTTGATCAGCTGTATGCAGAGGAGAGTCACTTCAAAACAGCACACAATTTTTCAGTGGTATGTTTCCAGCCCATGTCGATACGTCAATAACCCATTAACACCCACAAAAGTGGCAAAAGCTGCAAATATGAGTTTTGTTTTGCATTAATAGCTTGTATTTCAAAAATCCAAATAGGAATTCCCTACGTTAACCATATCTGTATGTCCAGGAAACATTTCCTCATTTTTAAAAATTTCCAAATACCTGCTGAGCTAACATGTAGTTGCCTGCTCGGCTTCTGTCCTGGTTTCAGCTGGAACAGAGTTATTTTCTTCCTAGTAGCTGGTGCAGTGCTGCGTTTTGGCTTTAGTCTGAGGACAATGCTGATAACACACCAATGTTTTAGTTGCTGTTCAGTAGCATTTACCCTGATCAAAGACTTTTCAGTCTCTCATGCTCTGCCAGTGAGGAGGGGCACAAAAAGCTGGAAGGGAGCAGAGACAGGACCAAAACTAGCCAAAGAGGTATTCCATACCATAGAACATCATGCCCAGTATATAAAAGGGGGCGAGTTGGCCAGGAGGGACCAATTACTGATCAGGAATGGGTTGGGTGTTAGTCAGCAGGAGGTCAGAATCACTGTTTGTTGGGATTTGTTTTATCTCCTTTTTATTACTTCCCTTTTCATTATTAGTAGTGTTAGTATTGTATTATTCTACATTTTTTACAGTTCTCTTTTCCATCCCACTTAGGAGGGAGGGGGGAAGTTGGGGAGGGCAATGAGTGAGCAGCTGCATGGTACTTAGCTGCCAGCTGAGGTTAAACTATGACAGCTTCCTTAACGAAACTGAAAGAGGCAGCACAGAAGCAAAGTAGCCAGGAAATGCTACATGTCATTTGCTTCTATTACCCCACCCCCCCATAATAAAAGCTCACTTTGCGACAATTCATGAATGAGAAACATCTAAACTCCATCCCTATTTAAATGCTAGACAGGGGAGTTTAAGATCCTGAAGGAACTGAGTAATAAAGACAAGTAATAAAGACCCCAGACTTCAGGGGAACAATCTCTTGTTTGTTCAGTGACCTGATCTGCAGGATCCTATGAGAAAGTTCCTTGTGTGGGGATACGGTGCCGAGGAGACTGCACTGATCTTCACTGTCCCATGGCAGGAAAGCAGGGTGGCTGCATGAGGAGGGACCTGCTGAGACCAAGGCCAAGCCTTCAGGGAAGCACACAAGTGAAGATAAGGGCTGCCCCACAACAGTGCAGAAGTGCTGCCCAGGCCAGGGGAAAGAAGCCAAGAAGCTCAGCTGGAAGCTGCCATGGAACAGGAAGGGCCCTTGCAGGTGCATCAGCAGCAAAAGAAGAACTAAACAAAACAGGGACCTCCCGGTGAACAGGTTTAGAAAACCAGTGGTGAAGGACATGAAAAAGATTAAGCACCGTCTTTTTTGCTTTGGTCTCTGCCAGCAAGGCAAACTCATGGGGCTAAAGTGGCAAGAGCCTGGGAAAGGTGTCAGGTAAGTGAAGACAAAGACAGGAATAGAGCACTTAAAAGGGGACACACAAGTCCATGAGACCAGATGAGATACTTCTGATGGTGCTGAGGGATTTGGCCGATGTCATTGCAAAGTCTTTTTGGATCACCTTTGAAAGGTCACAGTAACCAAGGGAGGTCCCGGATAATTGATGAAAAAAGCAAGAAGGATGATTTGAGAAACTACAGGCCAGTCAGCTTTATTCCAAACCCTGGGAGGAAAATGGAGCAAATCCTCCTTGAATCTATTTCCAGGAATATGAAGGACAGAAACAATTTTGTGAACAGCCAAGTATAATTTCCCAAAGGCAAAATGTGCTCAACCGACCCAGTTACGTATTACGATGGTTCTGTGGATGAGAACAGAGCAGCAACATCATTTACCTTGACTTTTACCATTTTTGATGCAGTCCCCCTTAACACTACAGCAGCCATAAAAGGCACGGACTAGGTGGCTAACCAATAAAGTTCATGAAAAAGAGTTGCTGGACTTCCAAACTCAAGACAGCAGTAAATAGGTCAAAATCCTAGCTATGGGCAACATTTCTCTCCAATTAATCTGAACATGTCCTCACTAATTTCACTGGTAACATCAAACTCCAGCAATCTAGAAGCTGGAAAGTAGAGCTCCCACCAAAAGGGCTTCAATACCTGAAGGAGTGAGCTGAGAGGCCTTATGAAGCCAAATAAAAGCAAATGCAAAAATCTTGTATATAACATGGAATAAATAATCCCATGCCACAGTACATGATTGGAACTTACAGGCTAGAAAACAGCTTTGCAACAAGTGTCCTCGGGTTCCTGAGAAACACCTTGCTGAACACAAGTAAGCAAGACATCCTTGCCGCAATGAAGGCTAACTATACAGCCGGCTGCATCAGCAAGAGTGCTTGCTAGTGACGGGAAGCAATTAGCGCTTTCTAGGTGACATTCCTGATGCCCCAAATAGGAGCCCTGTTCTTGCTTTTCAGCTCCTTTGTACCAATGAGAGGTTAAAAAAAGCCCCAAGCAACTGAAAGCACACGATGTAGGAGAAGAGTCAGCTGGGCATGGGTTTGTTCAGAACAGAGGTGGCTTCTTAATGACTTAGTGGGTACTCATGGAGAAAAGGTAGCAAAGATCTTCTCAGTGGAAGCATAATGAAAGAATAGAAAGCAGTGCCCCATCAGCTGCAGCAAGACAAATTCTAATCAGATAAATAATAACTTAAAATTAGCTACAATAAGGGTCTTCAGACACTGGAATACATTTGTCCAGAGGGGCTACAGAATCCCACTCTGCAGGGATTTTCCACATTTGAATGCACAGTACTGAACAACACTGTTTATCTTTTTTTAAGGTATTTAACCCTGCTCTAAGCAGGAGATCAGGCCTCCAGAGGTCCAGTTGCGAGTTCGAATCTCTCTCCATCTCAACAGCAAAATCCTGCACAAGTTTGGGAGAAAGAACAAACTGCATAAATGCAGACCAACCATGTCTCCATAATGATTTCAGATGATCAGGCTGTATATGAAAACTGCTTCCATGAAGCCTGAAAACTTTCTGACAGAACATCTACTTTATACAAGGTTTAGTTTTATATAATAAAAAATAACTTGAGCAAAACTGATTATTGAATTATAGGAATTTCTTGCTCCATCCTAGTGTTCTGGATTTTTCTTGCAGAATATGTATAATTATTTTTTCATTTTAGATGATTATTTGTAAAAAGAAACTTCCATACCTTTTAATTTTTCCAAGGTGTTTATTCCTGTCAGAGCATGCCCCCAACTAACTATATCTTCAGTTACAGACAACAGAATTTATCATTTACCAATTGCACAATATATTTGGCTCTTATGGAAAACATATATATGAGGAGAGGTACAAACACATTTATGTCTCAATATATGAATTCAGTGGGTTGGATGGGGGTTTTTTGTTTGGTTTTTAAGAAACTGCATAAAGAGACTTACAAGCTTTTCTTCAGTAAGTTTGTATTTTGAAATGCCCTTCTTGATCTGTGAAATCACTTCAGCCCTTGGACAAGATCACACACGTTTCTATGAAAAGTCGGTTCAAGTTCAATGCCATGCTTACTGTAGAGCTTTACAGAATAAGACATAAAAATATCAGTCAACTTGCAGTTTGTCTTTACATAGCATAGTTTTTCCCATGATGATTCTTCACAGTCTCACCAGAACAAAGCAAACAGCATGCAGCTTTAAAGTACTATGACTTTAAAATAGGTAATGTGTATATCTCTTCTGCTTTCTAAATGGGAATCAGGTTTTCTATTGCATGATGGCAGGGGGATCATTGCAAATGATTAACATCTATTTCTCTTCTTTAAACTTGAGTTTATAGAATCCAGTATTACTGTATAGGTCCAACACAAAATGTAAAGTGCAATTCTCAAAATCACAGATGGGTGGAGAACTATAACCACAGTAGCAGGCAACTGAATTTCCCTACAGACAGCAATATGGGCAAAGCTTTATCATTAGTATCACCACTCAGTGTACCAACAGATGTCAGTGCTCAAAGGCACTGAGAAAACTGACAGCAGAGTTAAAGACTGGGTCTGCATATGTGTGTCTCTCAGTGAATAGTGAAATTACTATCTCCTTAGGCACCATACTTTGAAAACAAGATGTTTTTTAGCTTGGTATTATTTTCCACAAGCTACTTCCTACTTCCTTGGAAGAAAGCAGTCCCTGAACAAAAGAAACCTCAAAAGGCAGAGATGTTTATTATGCAATGGACTAAGCAAAAGAAAAATATGCAGATACTCTGGAGAAAAAAAAAAATCCTCACAGCAGTCTGAATACTAATTAAAGAAGCAAGCCACACCGACCTAATGCAATTTTATCGCAGTGTTTTAAAAGCATACACTGACTTTGAATAAAGAATTAAAAAAGGTGTACATTGCCAAGCAATAAGATCACCCCTCTACAAGTCAGAAAATGTAAAATTCTGGAAAAAAAGCACGAGGCATTTTTTTTTCCTTTCTACTTTATTCATATAAGCAATACACAGCACTGCCTCTAACCTGAATGCCAGCAACATGTATCTTCGCGAGAAGTGTAAAGCTGCATGCTTTTACATTAAAATTGCAATGTCTGTTTCTGCTCAGAATCAGAGAAAAGAAGTTGATTCTTCTGAAATAATTTTTTGAGATGCACACAGGAAGTCTTGTAACAGCCAGATGGTTCATAGCCATCAGCTCATTCATTGCACAGAAAATTTTGGTCTTTTGTTCAATACTGCCTACCATCACTGCCAATCTTCATGTATTTTCTTACCTTAATAGAGATTTGCGATTTGAAAAAAGGCCCCAAGTTTCTTAGAAGCCAGACTTCCATTCACTTGCTTTATTCCTAAGACAATTTAAAAGCAAGGGTACATAGAGTTTCCAAGAGAGAGTGGGAGGATAAATGAAAGTAGATTTTACACTTGCAGTTACCTTTGAATAACAGACTGTGTACCTCAGTGTTCCCACAAGGGCTGTATTATAAGAATGTTAACAGCAGATTATGTGCTCATCCAATCTCTCTGAAAAGCTTTTAAAATTAGAGGCATCAGAATGAGCAATACCTGTATCTTCATAAACACCAGCTATAAAATCCAATCAGCTCACTGCAGAGTTATAGCAAGTTGTCATACTATTTTGTACCACCATTTCTTGGTTACAACAGAGTTCAAGTGGAAGATTTCAAGATGCAAGAAAGGCAAACTGGAAGTTTTGCTATCCTACTTGCCTTCCTTCAAAACACCACTGGACCAGAGCATTTGATCCCAAGTACTGGTTTAAAAGCTCACAGCCAGCGATCTCAACACAGAACCAGGGAGCCTCAGGTTTAGCCTCCCCTGTTATCAACAGTGTTATTAGCAGCAGTTTAGCAGCAAACCAGAGCTGCCCATGTGCAGCAGTAAGCCAGTCTCCAAAGCCCAGGTTTAAACTGACCCTAGTGAGCTGACATGCCCAGGCTAGAGACCCACAGTGCAGGTAGGAAGAAAGACAGTCTTTGCTCAGCACACAGCAACAGGTAGGAAGAAAGACAGTCTTTGCTCAGCACAGAGCAACAGCCCATGGTTTGGTGCGGAGCAACCAAAAAGGATCCAGGTAATCAAACTCTGCTCCTAAACCTGTCACAGTGTGCAGTCTTGTGCAAGTCACTAGACCCCTCTCACCTCTGGAAAACCAAACTGCTTTCTCATGGTGGCAAAGTCTTCTGGACTCTTTGTGGGCAAGGTTGCTGAGCACTGTGATACAACAGCTGCTCAACCACAATTCTGCAAAAGGTTTCACTTACTCTGGTTCAGGCAAGCATGTGCTTTATTACTCACCAATTATGTTTTCATGACAGACTTGCAGACCCAATTATAAGGAGTCATGCAAAACAGAAAACCAAAGATGCTGCTTAGAAGTGTGCACACATTCTTTATATCACATGCTTAAAAACAAACAAACCAACCCCAAAACAACCAAGAAATAAACAAAAACATCCCCCCCCCAAAAAAAACAACAAACAACACACTAAACAGATTTGGTGGATTAAAAGATTTTCAGACGGAAGAAAGAACCAGTATACTGAGTATTTGGTACATTGGCCGTATTGGTTAATTCAATCCCTAGGCTTACCTAAACAGTTATATTTTTCATCTGTAAAATGGCAGTTCTAGAGTAACTTTGAAATAGACCACAAAATACTTCAAAAATGAATGACTGAAATATACTGTACACAGAGGCACATCTGAATAGTTGAATTTGTTACCAAAAAAGCAGTGTTTCATCATCTCAGTACCATCTCAGGTGGCAATTTACTGCCAGAAGTGCTGCACTGTTAGACAGCTGCAAACAGTGAATCAAAGACACTTTCCAGATGTATTACTCTTATTCTGCAAAACGATAGGAAGACAAATGTAATATTTGTAAATAAAGGAACTACTTTTTTAGGATATCCTATTGAAGTTGAAAACCACAGAAATTTATATCTATGCTGGCTCCCCAAAATAGAAAATATATATATAAAAAAGAAGGAAGTAAACTAACAGACCAAACCCAGCCAAACAGAAAGCTAACACACTCAGATCACACAGCAATGTTTCCAACAGCTTTAAGAAAAGGTCTACCCATCCAACAGTCGTACGAGTGCTTCTGTAATGACATTAATTACCTTCCATAAAAAGTGCTGTCTCCTGTCTGCCCATGATTTCCTTTTCGGAGTCCTGCACTTTCATTAACATTCAAAGAAGCTATCAAAGCCTGGCTGTCTACCACTCTTATTTTCCCCCTGAATGAGATAAGACATTTTTATGGCCTTAGCGGCCGATTTTAATAAACACGTGGAATTTTTCCGCTTCGCTTTGCCCACAGCACAGAACCACAGCCTTAAGCAACTGTACTTGCCAACATTATGATTTACTCTATTTCTTTATATTAAATGGCTGACATAGGGTGCTATACTAACATTAAATACAAAATCATCACCATGAGAATATAACTTTTGCCAAAATGCAGGAGACATTCCATTTTAAGCTTTACCTCACGTCTTTACATCACTTTATTTAGCTTTCACGAAAAGAGTCCTGTGTGTCTGGAATTTACATTTTGCCTTTGCATAAAATGTGCACGTGGGTTTTCAGTTAAAGAATTAATCATGTGCTTGCTTTTTTTGTGAAAGCCAGATGTTTTCCACTGAACATTTAAAGCCTTTTTCATTTCCCCACAATTCTGAGGGTCCAGTTACATGAGACTTTCAGTTTTGGTAAATTTACCTGTTGAGAACATAGAAGCCTAAACATAAGAAAAGTAAATATTATTCTTAGCTCACAGAAAACAGGTGTAAGAGTGAAAAAAGCCCCAACCAACTAGCAATGGAAATACACCCAATTCCAGTCAAATACACACCCAGCCACACTCTCAGACATGAGACATCCCTCCATCTCACGACCAATGTCCAAATGAGACAGGCATTTGCCTGCATGACAGAAACTTCAACTCATTTGACTGAGAAGAGGCTGCCAGGTTCCGACCCCCAAAAAAAGGGAAAAAAGAAAAAAAGAGCAGCTGAAGCAACTCACTTGAAACAATGTCCCCCTTAGAAACACCTTCAGGGCCCCCAGCAGAAAGAACATTAAGTGGGCAAAGGCATGCCCTATTTCATGTCTCGTGGACAAATGCCTCAATTCCATTCTCCTCTACATTGCTCTCCTTTCAAATGCATTCGCTTAGTGGGCATCTGCTGCTTCCACTGTGTTCAGACCTCCACAAAGACATTTTGACTCCCTACCCCACCAGGCCATGCACCCAACAAAAGTGGATAGAATGAGCTCTGCATAGGGTCTGCCAAGAGGTTGCTCAATAGACTCACTGAATCGTACTCTTGGGAACTCAGATGAAGCTCCTCTGTATCTTGTAGTGCCATTATCCCTACGGAAGCAATTTAACTTACTGGTTTGTGACATTTTAGATGCTGAAAGATAACCCCTGCTACTTCCAGCTCCTGCTTCACAGGAGCACAGATCTCCCAACAAAGCCAGAGAAAGTGTCTACAGCCTTGTAAAGATGCCCTTAACTTAGGGCTATAAGGTACCTACCATATTTGATTCCCTGTACTTAGGCATTTAGTTCAACTCCTTAGTGCATTTATAAGGCCATTAAAAAAAAAAAAAAGACCAAAACATAAACAAAACCCTGTAATAAACACTGTTTATCAGGATGGAAGGCATTGCAAAACAGTCAAAAAGAAAAAGTAGATACAAGAACTCTGAAGATTATGGGCAGGTAGAGAAAGCCGGGGGGGGGGGGGGGATCAAAATTATCAAAATTAATTTTAAACTCCTTCAACAAACTGAACTGCAGCTACGAGATGGCTGTATTAAGGTCACACAGTACTTCAAGAAAACTTCTTTTGAAATGCATTGCATCATAAGCATGTTTCCAGGAACCACCATGCTGCTTACTTATTACATGTAAACTCCTTGTCTTTCACATTATCTTGTTCTTAAAGAAATACACCATCAGGAAACACGGCTTTTTCTGTTTGAAAACCAAACGGTTCAATACCATCACAGCTGCATTTTAACTCCTTCCCTTCCTGTGAAGGCTCCCACAACCTTCCTCCCAGTAAAATTGCTCTGAATCTTGGGTCTACAGGAGCTGGCACTTCGTTAATTCCTGCCACCATGTTTCTTTTCCCCTTTTCTGTTCCGGGAACAGGGTCTGGGAGTTAACATTCTCCTGAAGCACAGCACTTCTGTGTGCTGCAGAAGGTTATTACAGTAGTTGAACCTTTGCTTTGCAAAAGTCACATTGCAGAGATTCAATTTTAAGGGAGAAGCTAGACTAGAAGATCAGAGATCAGCTTCCAGAACAATGCTACCTGAAAGAGGTTTCATTACCTCCTTCATCCACATAGTACTACTGCTTCCTCACCACAGCCAAAACTAGTGCCAAGCCCACCCTTCCATTAAGACCTTCAACTTACCAGCTTGACAGAAAACTATTCAACTTTTTTATTCTGGCCATTTTCTGTTGTCTTAGTGAGCTGAAGCAGCTCACAAAGGGCTACCGTACAATTAACACAATGTAGACAGCGGAAGACAGTAAAAAATAGTCAGGAGACCTCCCCTCCTCTTTTGACAGTAAAAAGTATTAGTGAGCTCTCCTTGTTTTACAAAAATCACCAAAAGGAAATAAAACTTCCCCCGACCTGGAACTGGACTCTCCTAAGCAGCAGCACCTGGACACCAGGCAGTGGGAAAGATAGTGGAAAGGCACAAGGGGCCAACCACCCTCCTTTGGCAGCAAGCCACATTCCATAATTTTGGCATCAGTTCTCCTTGTTAATGGGGAAGTTCTGATTATGTCCAAGTACTGCTATGTCAAGCATGTACTCGATCTCCAATTAATGCCTTCTACCATGCTCACAAGCATTCCTCCAGATACTTCTGAACTTCCTTGAAACACTACAGACTTTTTGCTTAACCTAATGACTTCCAACTATACTGCATAAAAGACACCATAGGAAACAGTTAAACAAACAAAACGAATGCTGAGGATTTATGTAGCTCCAGAATTCACACTGGCAATACAACCTCAATTCAGTTCTTCATAGAAAGGCAGCCCGAAGAGATCTTGAGCTGCAAAGTCTGTTTTGCTGACTTGTGCCCATTGCCCTGTTAAGCTCAAAGGACTACTACCCAGGAATGACCACAGAATCAGTGAATTAATTTGAGCTCTGAATAATAATGTGTACAGTTTCCAAGCTAGCTGCCTTATACAAGAACAGCACAGCCACATTAGTATGGTGCTCCACCAACACCAATAGCTTGCTGTTCAGCAGGATTAATTAGCCAGGGCAGAGCACCACACTAATGTGATTATATTGCTCCTAGTACCTGAGCTAGCACATTCATCATTTTCTATTCCTTTCTTTTGAAATAAAGAGTTCAGTTTTTGCTATTTTCTAAACACCTAAATAATTCAAGCTTCTTTTTTTCCTTTTTTTTTTTTGGGGGGGGGGGTGAGGGGGTGAGGGGGTTGAAGGGAGTGGGAAGAGAAGAATGAGGTTTGGAAAAGATTCAAAGTCAGACTTCTCTAATTGAAACTGGGTATCTCCTGCCTTGATAGCCTGTTCCCACTATTGCCACTCTCTTCTAATCACTCCCGTTCACGTCAAGCTGCCATACTTTCCAAACTGCCTATGCATCTGCAAGTCTTCCCTGGACACCAGAAATAATTATGTCCAGCCACAACCGGCAATGAGAAGGGCAGACCGGAAGACTTTCAGCTTATTTGAGTGAAACAGAGTCATCACTGCCTTCCATTGACCCTTTTTTCTTACAGATTGGGAAAAAACTTACAGCAGGTACTTGCTCAGAAGAGGGGTCACCTCTGAAGACAATGAGGTGAAGAACAGAAATACAAACCACAACCCCCTCATTCACCAACTGGGGCTTCTATCAGGGCATTGAAACCGAGACAAGTGTGAGTCATGCCAGGTACCCAGACTCTGATGCAAGTTACAGAAATACCAGAGCATCAGTTGAACTCTCCAAATAACTGATGTTCTGACAAAACACAAGTGCACTGGTATGCTCAAAAGCAGCTGTGTTTCTTTGCTTAAGGCTTCCTGAGGCATCTGGCATGAAGAAGACACTCGGAGCAGGCAACATTAGGTCAACCAACAAAAAAAAAAAAAAAAATCAGCAGTCACAAGCAACTGACAGTGGTTTTACAACAGGAAGTATGGGGCAAAACCCTCTGCCAGCAGTACTGACAGCACTCCTTTTGAGTTCGCCTGTAAGTCATCATCAGAAAAGAAACAGAGGAATATTGCAGCATCTGTTAGTATCTCTGGTCCTTGGCCCACATCCCTTATCTGTACAGGCACGCCTGTGCACAGGCAGGCCCTGGGGGTGTAATGGTGGGACAGATGCCACACACAGACCTTGAGAGCAGCTGTATTGCTGTGACAGAGTGGAAGGCAGCAACAGCAATAGGATTGCCACTTGTCCATGTTTCCACAAGTCTTTCAGTTGCTTGATAAGCACCTAGCAACTTATTTTTCTAGTTAATTATATACATCTATGCTGGTTTCAATACTCAAAAACGTTCAAGAATCTTTATATTCCCGCCTGTATCAAGTTTCACTTTTTTTTTTTTTTTTTTGGTACAAAAAGGTATGCCATAGAAAAAGTGGTTAAAATTTCTATCACAAAACTTTGTTAAGAAAAGCTATAAAGCCACAGCGCTTTACTGTTTTGTGATCACAAATCATACTGTGCTGGCTAAACTTCTAAACACTGATTTCAAATTAAAAAAATTAAACAGGAAATTAACAAAACATCTCCAAGCTCTGTCCCATCAGCTTCATGTCATCATGCTGATGAAACGGGGCTCTTCCATGACAGAAATATAGGGAACAACAAACTTAATGTTTTTGGCTTTCTTTTCCCTTAAAGTAGCCTGATTCCTTGTGTCAAAAATACCTGCAAGAACAGTTTCAAAGTTTGAATTCTAGGTATAAGACGTACATCGTACAATGCAGACACAAATTCCAGGCATAAAAAAGTAGTATGAAAGCAGAAAGATTTTTTTTACGTTTGCACCTCCAGCGTGCAACCACCAGACACAAGCAGATACTTTAAGGGATACTTCCAGTTTCTGTATGTGTACAGTGAAATACGAGCATTCACACTTTAAAAAGTTACAAAGTAAATCTATTTCCAAAAAGGCTGCAGGTTAGAATTTCAGCTTGTTGGGAAAGTATCAACATAAATAGAGAAGAGCTTGGAAAGAAGGAGAGAAAAGCAACATAAAGGCCAACATATGAAACAATGTGAAGCAAGTTAACACAGAATAGAAAACACTGTTTTACAGCCAAGTGGGACAAGGTGGGGACAGTATTCTTTAAAAACGAAAGATCAAAACAATCAAGACACAGGGAAAAAAAAAAAAAAAAAAAGGGGGAAACAAAATCCAAAACCCAACAAACCAGGTAAGAATACTTAACTAAACAACATGTTAGGATCACATACTGAATCAGAAGGAAAGGGCACTCCCAGAAACAACACATAGTATTGAAGACTCGTACTGAGGTATGAAATGAAAATATAGATCTAGGAAACTAAGTGCAGTCTCTCTGTTATTTCCTATGCTTACATGGCCAGAAATCTACTCTGGGCAGTTACTGTGTTGTTGGTGGCTCCTGAGTAGGAGTGGAGGAGAAAGAAGACTGATAGAACAGAAAGGGAGGAAGAAATATTGAAGAGATACTGGGCTATGTATATACATACATATATACACAAACATACAAACATACACATACACACCTGGATCCATATGTAATAAAAGAGAACTTGGACTAGTTGTCACATAGCAGGACAACCAAAAGCAGCAGTATATTTAAGTTTTCTCTTCTTCTCCCTGCTTATTTACTTGTTGCAGTCTTCTACACTACAGGATTGTGTTCAACACATTTGGAGCCTCATTACTTCTACATACTTCTACATGGCAATTCAAGGTAACTAGAAAGAGTTTGCTGGTATTTCTAACTGCTCTGTGTGCGTCGGGGAGCCTGTGTGACTAAATCAGAAGACAACATAGCCTCTGCACGCTTCAAGATGTGGTCAATATCATGTGCACATTCCTGAGAGATTCTCCCTTCAAAGTATCTTTGCGTTGGTATTCACTACTTATGACTGCTGCACAATTTGGTAAAATAGTTAAACTTGAGATTAGTGAGAGTGCATTATCTGATGCTCTGTAAGATGTCAGGGCTCACTTTTCAGACCACTCTCTACAAACGCAAAAAAAAAAAAAAAGAAAAAAAAGAAAAAGGAACACATCACTCCTTAATAAGGCTGTGTTTCACAAACAGAAATACTCAGTAGTTCTGGTCTCACTCCTATCTCTACAGAACAGGAAACGTACGCTACTAATTAATTCACAAAACCTAATGTCTGCAGGCAGCTGAAATTGCCAGCTCGATAAATAAACCAGCCAGTAATGACGGGAAGATGAACTACATTATCAAGGAAATTCTTCTGTCAGAGGACCGTGTCAAGCTCTGCTCACGACAGCCTTGCCTATACAGAGTTTGGAAAATTTCTCTAAGGAAGGACTTTACAGCGATACCTGAACCAACCGAGCAGCAAGGAATCCAAACCCACAGGGCGCAGACACCTTACCGCTATAAGCTACACTGACCGTATTTTTCCCAAACACCCTCAAATCTTTCAGCAGCCGCTATCACTGAACAGTGAACTGCATCAAATCGGGACATACATATCGCGACATCCCTAAGCCGCTTCACCGCACCTCGCGCCCTGGATCCTCACCCAGCTTAGCCGGGACAACTCCTCTACCACCGGTGCGGCACGGGGATGGTGCCGCCTCGCGTCCCCGTTGACCCATTCCCGCGCCCCGGTGATCCACTCGCCGCTCACCGGCCGGCGGCCGAGCCCGGAATGCCTCACGGGAAGAGCAGGCGGACCCGCGTGGCTTCACAGTCCCGGTGCCGCTGCCCCCAGCTCTCTCCCGGCCCCTTTTCTCCCCGGGTTTCGGTGCAACAGCGGAAGGAGGTTGGCAACGTAGGGAAGGAGAGAGAGAGAGAGAGAGGGAGGGAGCCGCAGCCGGCACGGAGCGCGCCCGACACCGGCAGTGCCGGGTCCGCAGGCAGCTCTCGCTCCACGGCAGCGCAGGGGTGCGAAACGCACCGCGGACTGCTAGGGTGCAACCGCGAGCGATGAAGCCGACCCGCACAGCGGGCCTGCCGAGCGAGGCCCGGACGGAGAGACCGCGTCCCGCCGGGAGGAGGAGAAGCAGGAGGGCTCAGGACTCCACCTCCAAGTCCCCCGCCGCCAGCCCCGGCAGCGACCTGTTGCCCCGCGCGAGGATACCGACGCGCGGTCGCGGGAGCAGTCCCGTCCACCGCCACCCACCTCCTTGATTTTGTCTCTCTTCTGCCGTACGGCGGGGTCGGAGGGCTCCTGCCCCACGGCACCGACGGGCTGGCGGAAGAGACGCTGGGGCAGCCCGGGGGCGCCTGCCTCTTTCCTGCCGCGGGCATCCTGCAGAAGTTTCTCCTTGTCCTGGCGGATGTCCCTGCGGATCTCCTCGGGCAGCTTCTGCAGCGTCTCCTTGGCCTCCCGCAGAGCCCTCTCGTGGTCCGCGCGGATCCGCTCCAGGCTGCCCGCTCCGCCCGCGGCCGCCGCCACCGCCGCTGCCGCCACCGGGCCGCCTCCAGGCTGCGGCTGGGCGCGGGGCTGCCCGCCGGGCGGCGGCGGCTGCAGGGCGGCCGAGTGGAAGAAGACGCCGCTGAGGAGCTTGGAGGAGTCGGGCAGAAAGAAGATGGCCCCGAAGCAGAGAGTGATGAAGGCGCTGAACACCAGCAGCAGCACAAACTTCTCCGTCAGCCGAAACGCGCCGGGGCCCGCCGCCTTCCTGCCCCCGCTACCCGCGCCACCGCCCGTGGGGCCGCCCAGCGCCCCCGGCCCCGCCGCGCTACCGAAGAGCGGCAGCAGGCTGGCGGCGGGCATGACCCCCGCGCCGCCTCAGGTAGCGCAGGGCAGCGCGCCCCGCCGCCGCCGCGCAGGGACCGCACCGGACCGGACTGCTCGGCTCGGCTCCGGCTCCGGCTCCGCCACCGCCCCCTCCCCGCCTCGGCAGCAGAAAGTTTCCTCGGGCGGACGCAGCAACTTTTCCCTTCGCCGCCGGCAGCGCTCGGCGTCTGCGGGGCGGGCGCTGTCAGCTCCAACCCATGCTGCCGGGCCGCCGCCGCGGGAGCCGCTCCCCACTCCTCCCGCGCGTAACTGCCGAGCGGCCGGGGGCGGGGCGGGGCGGGGCCGCCGACGGCCCAATGGCGGGGGGGGCGGGGCGCGGGAGCCGCCACCGCTGCCGCCCTCCCGCCCTCCCGGACCCTTGGCTCCGGGGCTCAGCTCCATGGAGAGAGGGCTGCCCAGGCGCTGCCCGCCCGCCGGGGAGGAGGCTGGGGGGGGATGGGGATCGCGGCAGAGGCTGCCCGCCGGGTCACCGGCCACCCGAGGCGGCGCGGCGGGAGGCCGGACTCGGGCGCGCGGCCCCGGCACGTGGCCGGCGGGCAGGCACGCGCGCCCACGTGCACACTTGTGCACACACTCGTGCACACACACACACGCACACGCGTTGCGCCGCCCGTCCCCTCTCCGGGTGCGGGTGCGCGCACAGCGACACACGTGCAGACAAGCGCGTGGCCCTGCACACGCGTGTGCACACGCTTACCCGTGCGCACGGCCGGGGACCGGTGCGAGGGGAGGCAGCGGCGCCAGGCGGTGCCTAGGCGGGAGGGCCGGGCGGCGGAGCCCTGCCAGCTGCTTTTAGCAGGAACCGCGCTCTCCGTAAGAACAGGGGTTTCGTTTTATTTCCTTTTCTTGCAGGTGAAGCTCTTGCGAGGAAGTAGGGGAACTCTTGTATCTACGTGAGGGTTGATATTAAACTTCTCGTCTGCGCTAGTGCAAGTGAAATAACAAGGTGCTGGCACAAAGAAATGTCATATTTGGTAGCTGATCAAATTGCTGCATCGAGGTCCCCAAGCCTCCCGCGAGAGCGAAAGTTTCAGCAACAAGAAGATACGATTTATTATTTTGTTCGTGTTACAGAACAGTGCAATAAACAGTGGGGATGTGGGAAGCAGGGAAACACAATAAAATCCTGAGTAATTTTACCTGGACCAGCACCTAGGGGTTTATCTCGAACTTTTTTCGAGCGTGTTTGGAGCCTACCTAAGCAGTTCGGCACGGCAAACTTAGACTTTTCCTCCAGAATGTGAGCCAGAGAATCAGAAAGCAGAGAGAGATGTCGCTCCCAGAAGTTACAGTGCTGAGGTTTGTTTGTTTGTCTATTTGCGTGACTTTATTTTGCAAGAGAAAAAAAAACAACCCAGCAACGGTAGAGGGAAGTCTGTGCTTTAAACAAGGGCAGGGAGAAGGGATTGCGTAAGCAGTACAAATGTGATTTTGAAAATGGGCCTGGCGTGAGTCTAATTGTGGTCCCAGTGGAATTCAGGGGAGTTTTACCATTGACTTAATAGGAATAAAATAAGGCTGCTGCCCAGTGCTTTTCTAAATCCCATTCTTGAGAAGTTAGAATATGTAATAGACTAATTAAAAGCAGGTTTAGAGAAGACAGTTACATAGAAATGTTGGACTGAATTCTACAAATTCCCATAAGTATATGAGCAAATGCTTCTATAAAATTTCAGGATTATACGTGAAACTGAAGGATCAGGGGCCCAATTTTGCATCCAGCAAAATCACTGATTTCCTTCACTTTTTATGTTGGTTTTCTTTATTATTTTTTTTTCTGAGTTGTATTTTCCCACATTTAGATGAAAACCTATTCCTTAAACTAAACAATAAGCACTCTGATTTTGACACACATTTCCCAGAAATGTGTAATGTAGCCCAATAGCTGTGCCAAGATAAAACTATTTAGGATTGAAGAATTCAGCCTGCTTGGAAAAGGAGATAAGAATCTATGCTGCTTTTTTTTTAAGCAACATTTAAGGTAGCACATAGGGAGTTCAGCTATTGAAAGACAGTTGACTAATGAAAAAGCTTCCTAAATGGTGAAATACCAGTCACAGCTTCAGCGAGCATATTCTGCTTCAATTGCTGTGTATGTGGGTGTATAATATTTTTCACAGATTGCCCTCAAAACTCATCACTACTTATATGATAATATTTGGAGGCAGAATTTCTTGCTGGAAGAAGTGCCTTTCTTCAGTATTCTGAAATCATTCTTAGGTTGCCACATTTCTATAGCCATCCCATAGTGTTCTGCTCCTAAACTGAAGCCATCTGACCTCACCAGTCACTTGCCTGCTTTTGGTTGTCATGGAATCATAGAATCGTTTGGGTAGGAAGGGACCTTAAAGCTCATCTAGTTCCAACCCCTCCTGCGATAGTCAGGAACATCACCCTAAGTGCCAGGTGTTAAATAAGAATTCACACCAGCGGTTTTACTGCCATCCGTCATCACTTCCTTTGGAGCATGAGGAAAGTAACAATTAGTATTTTCAATACAAAGCTAGAAATTGCTAAATTCTGTAGCCTCTGTGATGAGATGATCATTCCAAGGACAACGATAATCTAGGCCCTAAACTGGAACTCCTCTGAGCAGGTCTCTAAATTTTGTATGCAGAGTGTTTCTGTTGTTAGCACCTAATATTATAAATGGTTACTCACAAAGTCACATGGGAACTATTCAGTGGGACTGTTGATGCATGTAAAGTTACTGGTGTACTGAGCTGTTCACAAGATGAGGGCAATGGGGACTGAAAGAAAAAAAAAACAAACCAGCCTCAACCCAACATTACTATACAAGTCCCCTGGAGCTTTTGTCAGCAATTCACTTTAGGCACAGTGTAGACTTGTACAAGATACTCCAAAGAACACGAAAGTACAGGGAGTGTCTCCGAAGAAAAAAAAGAACCACCACAAATACAAGTAGAAGTTGTACATGCTCAGTTTTGACTGGCTGTGTCCAGCAGGCAGTGTGCTGTAAAAGCCCCTCCTCCCCCCCAAAAAAAACCCCAAAGCATGAACAAAGGAAGACTGCAGGTTGCAATAATCGAGTGATAGCAATGAAAAGCCAACCCAGCTGCACCAGAGCTTGCACTAAAAGAGCCTCTTTCAATGCAGTTTTGTCAGCATATCCACCTAGTGGAACCATTGAGGTAGCTGACACGTTGGGTTGGGTTTTTTTCCTTTTTTCTTTTTTTGTTCTTCTTCTTTTTTTTTCTTTTTTTTTTTTTTTTCCTAATTTACCTGCTCCTAATTATCTCCATTGCTTCCTGGATGACATCAGCTAAATGGGTAAAAAACCCCTAAGTCTTCAGGCAGTTGTTTTGCTGTGCCGGGTAAGGCTGGGTCCTATCTGATTTGGTTATACCAAAAGAACACTGGACTCCACCCCTCCTGTGGAGCAAAATGCTTCTCCTGTGAGTTTAGCTGTAGAATCAGGAATCATTTTCCAGCAAACACACACAGGTCAGGCATTTATAGAAAGGTAGAATTGATACATGAGAGGTGACGAGAGATTTGCATAATCAAGGGATAAGGCTCTTTCCTATAATAAATGTTCTGAATAGGCAATTTTTTTTTTGTTTGTTTTTAATCAGCTGCACCTAATTTATCATGGTTCTAGCTTTGTATATTGCCTAATGATGTGGAATTTACTTGCATGGTCTAAAATATACATGTAACAGGTAAGGAGGGTGTTAACAGTTGGTCCATTTTCAGATGAAGCAGAGATATTGACTGACACATCTTTTTTAATCATGAGTTTGTAAGAGTACCACTCTCTTAAAAAGGTCCCCAGTATTACATTGTTTAATGCTACTGTAAAAAATTTATTGACAGCTTCCTTTTGAAATGCATTTCTTTTACTGAGCTTTTGGGAGATACTTTTAACAAGCATGACTTTGGGAATCTGATTCACAAACCCAAGTTAGACATCCAGCTCTTCACGGAATAAGGGAGTGGTGTGACATAGATGTAGGGTTCCCAGGGCTCAGAAGCTGGATTCGTAAGACCCAGCATGCTGTTTGGAAGGAGGCTTTGGCCGTTTGAGGACCAGATGTGTATAAAATGCTCTCTGTCTCTCCAAATTTGGCTCCTTGCTGCAGTTCTGAGTTCAGTATGTGAGGAAAGTGTGATTCACAGCCACAAAAGCTGGTTGATCTTCAGTGCTTTGAGAATAAGGGACTGCCTCATGCTTTTCTTTAAGAGTGCAGAAGAAAGAAATGTTGACCACTTATTAAGGAGCCCTGTGGTTAGAGCACTTGCTCATGAAGTTGGACGTCTGTGTTCAACATGTTTTGTATCTCAGGGGATTCAAATTATCCACTTTTGCTTTGCAGTAATATCCTGGAGAATGTGTACATTCCCCACCACCTTTCCTTTTAAAGTAGTGACTCAGAGAGGAGTGCAGAACTCTGAGGGAAAAAAAGGAGAGAAGTTTTCCCTGATAAGTATTGCTCAACAGCCCTGAAGTGGGAATGTTCCTCTCCGAGCAAAGCCTATAGCCTAAGAACTAGGGCATGAATCTGAGAGATGGGAGATTCCAGTGTGTTCCCTTCCCAATGGATGGTCTCCTATTGAGGATAAAAAAACAGAAGAAAGAAAATTAAATTCTATCACAGCTTTTCTTAAACATTTCCTCTAGTTAAATAAATGAGATGAATGTGGCTAATAGCCAGACTTTATAAATACCATAGAAATGTACCAGAGATGTGAAGCTGTAAGCTTGCAGATCTTACTCCACTCCAACTCTTTCCTGGTATAGCACATCAATGCTATAAGAGGTCTCTTTTCTACCAGTATCTTTGGAATTATCTTTCATAACTCCTTCTTATCCCCACCTGAGGAGAATTTATTTCTCAAAATTAAGGCTCTGTTGTGTACACAACTTTCAGTTCTTATTGGGAGGGTTTGCTGAAATTGTCCATCTAAGCGTCCAGATAAGGACAGAAAAGCTCTGCTCTTTCCCTCCTCCCTAGGATTTCAGAAGGCATAGAAGATGAACTGTAATAAATGCTTCTTGAAGAAAATATTTGACTCTCATTCTATAAAAGCATGAAAGATTAAAAGCATTTTCTTCAACATTGCAAGAAGCCTGAGTCTAGAATTTGAACTCTGATCACTTGCAGGATTGTGTTCAGTACTAGCATGACGCTATCATGCTCAACTCCACATGACATCTTTCACAATATCTCAAGTTACTCCTCTCTTTTTATCTTTTTTAATGCTTCTGTTAATGGACTCTTTGCTGTCCCT